TGAATGTGGCATGTTGTATAGAGAGAGTAGAAAAGCGCTATATAAGAATCAGTCCATTTACTAATGTCATTCAATTTCTCCCATCGTTTATGTTTTGTCCTTTCTCCTTTGTCTCTTTGTCTGCTCATTCCCCTCACCCCCAACCAGTTGCAGCAGATGGCGGTCTCTCCCTGGGAATGCTTGTATTGGAGGTTTCTTCCTGTTAAAAAGGAGATTTTCCTTCCCACTCTTGCCAAGTGCTCACTGGCGATCACCTGATTGTTAGGTTATTATTATTTTAGAGTTGTCTGTCCATGCACTACTTCCATTCTGATTACATGTGGCGAGACTCTCAGGCCTGCTTGGTGCTTGTGCAGCAGGTCACATGCTGATAGCCTGTGACCTGCTTTTATCACTGTGTACATATATGCATGCTTGAGCCTGTGGGATGGAAGGAGAGACACAGGATGGAGGTAATAAGGATGCATCATAGACTGTAATGTGTTTGGTTTGCAGATGTGTAAGAATGGTGCTGCTTCACATTTGCACTGTCCTCTCTGACAGATGTTGTTTGGTCGAATGACTTAAAACTGATTTTGCCATAAATGCCAATTAATATCTGATTTTTCTATTCCAGCCATTCTCACTTCTTCTTGTCAGGGTTGGGGGGGGTGTATAGCCTATCCCACCTTTGACTGACTGTCCTATCATTTAAGTAAGTCAGACTCTGGATTCAATTATTTCTCATACTTTGTAATAGCTGCAGGTTTCTTGCTGATTTCACCCGTGTGAGAAGGACTGCAAAAACAAATAAGTACATCTAAACTGAAATTAAATTTATTCTTCAAAGACGAATGAAGCAAAGGTTCTTCTAGATCCACGTCCCTTACAGTGCTGAAAAAGTATTTGCCCTCTTCCTTACAATATGTTTTCTTTCTTTTCACATATTTGTCACAATTCAATTCAATTCAATTCAATTTTATTTATATAGCGCCAAATCACAACAAAAGTCGCCTCAAGGCGCTTCATAGATACAGAGAAAAACCCAA